ACGGGTAAAATGCTTTCAAAGCTTGTAAGAGTAGTGTATACAGTATTTTGCATCTTATCATTTTTATATATAGGTACATGTACACTGTTTATTTGTTACTTTCTTTTCAAATTTATTATTGACTAATGCCAATATTAATTCACGTGTTTATTTATCAAAAATGTGACTATAAAAACATAATGGCTTTGTCGGTTGTGTATAGTGATATTTGTGAACTATTAGGGTTTTTCTCGTCTATATAAATAATTATTTCACTTTAAAGCCTTATAACGTAACAGTTGATATTTAAAATATTTGTCCACATTATATGTAATCATTAAAATATATGCATTCATTTCTTATTTAAAAATTTGACTTAGACTTTATAGAAATAAATTTCTAATTACCTTTTATTAACATGAAAATGTAAATTCGGTAATATCTTTACAAATAACACACCGTATTACCGGCGGCAGTGATGGCAGATCACTGCAGTGATGGCAGATATCTGAAAATTACCGATCGATACAGGTAGGTTATAAATTCGGTTGGTTTAATTATATTAAACAAATACGGCCCATATCATTGCTATAAAACTATTGTCCATTGAATGGAGATACTGTAAGGTAATTTTGGACTCGTTTTTTCCTGTTTTAAGACTATTTTGAGCAGGTTAAAAGTGACAGCCTCGGAAAAAATCCGTGAAATTGTCTTTTTTTCTGTTCAAAAATATCTCAAGTTTTAAGTAAATGGCAGGATTTCTTGTTATCAATATAGACGTTTAGCCATTGGGGTCACGCAAGCCAAATATCTACCCCGTGAGTCTTTTCTTGAAAGTTTTACAGACGCTCAATCTTGTCCGGTCGAAGAAAAAATGCTGCCGTTGTAGGCAGATACATATTATAAATGCTGCCGTCGATGGCAGAAATACCATGAAAGTGGCTAACATTCTGACAGAAAATCAAGTTCAATCTTTTATCAATTCCTCTTTTCTTTGCGTCCTTTTAGTCGGAATTGAGATGTTAAACTATCATTTCTAATATTTTCTCGAGATAGAAAAGTTATTAATGCGGTATGTGCACTGAAAAAAGCTTTTTAGCAACATGCAGTTACAATACAAAAAGTGATGATTTAGTACGACAAAATTGCACTATAAATAGAGAAATGAACATGAAAAACTTCATTTTTCTATATTCTTTATGTGTGCTTGATCTGTCTGTCAGTTACATGCGTGCAATACTATATGTATCTTAAGTTTAGCAGCGCACTCCCTTTTTAAGTCATAACGCTCATTGCATATTACAGCAAGTAACTTCTGTAAGTGGATATTCATTTGCTAGCATATGCCATTATTTTCTCGACGCTTTATGACAAATAAAGGCTGAAATTTACTTAATCGGTGCAGATTATAAGTTATTAAATTGATGTAATAAAGGGGAGACTATTAACCTCGCATCAGTGTATTATAAAACAATTTATCACACACCCGTGCCGATTTTGCGACTCCGTAAATATGGTATTGCACGGCCGTGCATATATTTTGACGTGACGTCATTAGCGTTATACAAACATAGTGTAAAGACGCGCTAAATGTTAGCGTTATACTATAGGCGCGTCAATGAAAAAAAGGCTCTTTTTCACATTAAACGGTCTTTATTTTGGGTATGTTATAAATAGAATATTAAATTCGTGTAAGTTCATTACTGAATTTATTGCACTCGTTGAATTAAATAATATTATGCTCGCCAGAGGCTCGCATAATATAATTTATTCAACTCGTGCAATAAATTCAGTATTGAACTTACACTCATTCAATATCCTCTATATATGTTAATGTAAATTGGAAAGATAATATTATTAACAGTTAAAATATTTTCTTATATTATCAAGTTCTTGAAAAACACGACGACGTGGATTCACTTCTTTAAATTTTCATGTTTGTAATAGCGTTGTAGTTTGCCTTTGAATAACATTTACAATGCTTCTAACACACACGTGCTCCCATAATATTATATTTTTTCATTCATTTTATATACATAATTAGTTGTAACCATGACAACTTATAAAGATGAACCTTTTGATGTTTCATATCTCAAGACGAAAATAAATCCTGTATTTATAGCACGGATTTACATTACATGTAATATAAATCCGTGATTTATAGGGAAAAAAACTAGAATTTTTTGATTTGTTATATACTTTTTTTTTTTTTGACCTTTCAATTCATAAGAGTTCTCCTATAATTAGTAGTCCGGCAAGACACCATTCAAAATACGGAAAATATGTTTCGCTGCAGTGAAAAAATAAATCTTCAGTGAGGCAATAGCTCCAATACTGTGTACATCTTGTGCATTCAAATGTTTCCTGAATGTTCTATATTGATATATATTGAAACAGACTTTAGTTACTGATAAGCTCCGCCTCCATAGCATGCTACATGTAACATCACTTGTGTATTAAATCTTGGAATATAAAGACGTACTCTTGTTGTCTCTTCTAGTTCAAATTATACAATAGTATATTTTACTGGACAATCTCATTTGAGATATAATATTCTTGATAATATACTTGTCACTAAAACAAAACATACAACATGTGTCAGAAAAAATGGAAATTAAATTTAACTTCACCTGACATTTAGATCAAATTCATATTAACTTGAAACTTTAAAAAAAAAAAAGTGAACAAAATGGCACTCTCTGGAATAAACCCACCAAACATGAACTGGGACAGTGTTAATCTACTACAAACTTGGGAAAATTTGAACGAAATGTTAAACTAATATTCAGTGGACCCCTCAAAGAAAAATCAGAAAGAAGAAAGGATTTCATATCTACTTATATGGATAGGAGAAAAAGGGGCAAGACATTATGCAATCCTGGAATTTAACCGCAGATGATAGAAAAAAGATCGATACGTACTTCACAAAATTTCAAAACCACGTTCAACCTAAATTAAACCCAATTTTTGCAAGGTACCAATTCAACAATGAAAGGCAGGGTGATGAAAACATAGACCAATTCATCACAAAATTGAAAATGAAAGCCAATGAATGCAGATACCAAGAAGGAACAAAGGACGAAATGATCAGAGATCGAATTGTTTTCGGGGTAAAAAAACCAAAGACTGAGAGAAAAATTAATTAACGAAGGAGAATCCTTAACATTAGACAAAGCAATCCAAATCTCACAAAATTTCGAATACTGTAAAAAACAAATGGACATTCTTAACCCCAAGCAAGACATAAATTACGTCAAACATGGACGAAGACAAGGTCGTGCCAAACCGGAACAAAGCGCTGCCAGGATCGACACGGAAACAGAAGTCTCAAACAACTACCTGTAGAAATTGTGGAACATACCATGACATCACTCAAAGAAGGAAATGTCCGGCATATGGACAGCAGTGCAAATCATGTAAAAAGTACAATCATTGGGCAAAAGTATGCCGTTCAAACAAACAGAAACATGTTCATGAATTTCGAAACAATTTAAGTGAAAATAGTGATGATTCTTGTATGGATAACTATTTCATTGATACGGTAAGTCACAAAACATCGCCAGCCCCAGATCGCGCGTTTTGTTGACATTAAGATTGGCCCGAAATGCCAAAACATTAATTTCAAACTTGATACAGGGAGCAGCGTTAACATACTCTCTCTAAGCGCAAAATTTGAATCGCTCAACATGAGAATCCCTTTGCAGGCCCCCGATTCTCAACTTATCTCTTACTCAGGTGATACAATAAAAGTTATAGGAAAAATCAGTTTAACCTGTAGCTACCGTACCGCGCAAGTTACTGTAGACTTCTATGTCGTTAACAGTGACGCACCACCGCTTATAGGATTACAGACATCCATTGACCTTGGGTTAATTAAACTCACATATGACATAAACTGCCAAAATACTCAGTACATGACTAAAGAGTCAGTAATGTCTGAGTACGGTGATTTGTTCAGGGGCGTAGGCATACTCCCTAGTAAAAGCAAATTACACCTGCGTGATGACGCTATTCCAGTAATTACACCTCCGAGACGTGTACCGGAAGCGCTCAAATCGCGACTTAAGCTAGAGCTTGAGCAAATGGTCAAAGACGAAATTATAACGCCAGTGACGGAACCTACGGACTGGGTACACCCTATTGTTGTGGTCGAAAAACCGAACGGAAAATTACGTATTTGCTTAGACCCAAAACAGCTCAATGACGCAGTACGTAGACCTCATTATGTCACATCAACACTTGATGACGTAACAGCAAAGCTCGCTGGAGCTAAATACTTTAGCATGTTAGATCTTACTCATGCATATTGGTCTGTACAACTAGACGATCAATCGTCTTACGTCACAACCTTCGCTACTCCTTTCGGTAGATATAGATACTTGAGGTTACCATACGGACCATACGGTATATCATCATCAAGTGATCTATTTTGTCAAAAGGTCAATCAGATATTCGAAGGAATAAATGGAATACACCCTCTTGTTGATGATATTTTAATATGGGGAAACACGCAAGGTGAACATGACAAACGTCTAACACAGGTTTTATTACGTGCGCGCGAGCAAGGTATCAGGTTTAATGAGCAAAAATGCACAATTGGCGCCAAATCAGTACCATTCTTTGGTCATATCATTACGGAAAGTGGGTTAAAAGCTGACCCGTCTAAGATTGAGGCAATTATAAAATTGCCAATCCCCAATAACCGCGAAATGGTCGAAAGGCTTTTTGGGAATGGTCAATTTATCTCTCTAAATTCGCGCCAAATCTAGCAGAAGTTACAGCCCCCTTACGGAGCCTCTTGAAAAAAGATACAGAGTTTATATGGGATCATGTTCATGACCGAGCATTTTCTCAAGTCAAAGATATTATAACACAGGCACCAGTATTAGGTTACTATGACCCGACAAAGCCGCTTATACTGGAAACGGATGCTTCAAAATTCGGAGTCGCTTTTTGTTTATTTCAAGACAATAGACCTATCGCATTTGCAAGCAAAAGCCTGACGCAAACTGAAATCGGTTATGCCGTCATTGAAAAAGAAATGCTTGGAATTTTGTTCGGATGCAAACGGTTTCATCAATTCACTTATGGTAGAGAAGTTATCGTACATTGCGATCAACAAACCAATATCTGCCATTATGAAAAAACCAATGTCCGCAGCACCGCCTAGATTATCTAGAATGCTACTAGCTCTGTCTAAGTATCAGTTAATCGTAAAGCACATGCCTGGTAAAGAAATACCAGTAAGTGACTGCCTATCACGCCAAAGTCTCCCTAATACATACTTAAATATGTCAGACGAGCTTGATAATTACGTGCATACCGTCCAAAAACAATTGCACATTACCGACCAACGAATAGAAAATATTCGCGCCGAAACGTGCAAAGACGCACAAATGAAAATTCTGAAAAAGACTATATTAAACGGTTGGCCAGAATCTAGATCAATGTGCAAGCAATCAATCCTTGATTTCTGGAACCACCGCGATGAGATAAGCGTAGAAAATGACCTGATATTTCGAGGTCATACAATTGTAATACCGAAAATCTTGAGAAATGAACTTGTACAGAAAGTTCATACAGGTCACATGGGAATTACGAAAACACTTGAACGTGCTAAAGATTCAATATTCTGGCCAGGCATGTCCAAGCAAATTACAGAATATGTTAGCAAATGTAGCATATGTCTAACATACCGCGACGCAAACACAAAAGAACCGCTTATGACTACAGAATTCCCCGACAGACCTTACCAAAAAATAGCAGCAGACCTGTTCCATTTTCAAGGTAAAGAGTATCTATTGACTATTGATTATTATTCAAGATTTTTTGAAATAGACCATTTACAAAACACAACATCAAAAACAGTCATTCTGAAACTTCAGAAACAAATGTCGAGACTGTCAATACCTGAAGTCTTTGTCTCAGACAATGGTACTCAATTTTCAAGCTCCGAATTCAAAGAATTCGCTAAAGAGTGGGGTTTCGAGCACAGAACTTCATCCTCCGGATACCCCCAGTCGAACGGTCTTGCGGAAAAAGGCGTAGGTATCGCCAAAAAACTAATGCAAAAGGCTAAAGATACGAACACAAACATTTACATTGCATTATTAGAATATCGTAATACACCTCTTGAATGCGGATATTCTCCGAGTCAACTGTTAATCGGCCGGAGAACTAAATCCGTTGTGCCAGTTACAAATAAAGCACTGGTACCCATTTTAGTAAATAACTCAAAAGTGCGCAGTCTAATGAAACAATCGAAAGACAAACAAAAGGTCAATTACGACAAAAATGCAAAATATTTGCCACCTTTGTCCTTGAATCAATCAGTACGCATTAAAATAGGAAAAACTTGAAAACGCGGGAAAATAGTAAAAGTACATAGTGACCGCTCCTATCATATACAACTTGCTGACGGCAGCATATATCGGAGAAATCGGTCAGTATTACGCAAAAGTCCGGAAGACACAACCGATATTGAATCATTTCATGCGCAAGTCTTATATCATGATAAAAATTCAAGTACCCCTCAATTACCTCTCGAGGAAAATAACTCATCTCAGGTACAAAGTGACCCGCCGATGAACTCGCGTGCTAGAACAAGGGCTGGACGATTGTTGCGTGGCAATCCGAAGTACGATAATAATGAATGGGTTAGATAATAACAGTTATTGAAAATAATGAGTTTAAAGTATTTTGTTATCACAGTAATTAACGTGACTATCTGAAAAAAATAAAGAACTAAACTATGTCACGTAGAGAAAATTAATAAACAGTTCAATCAGTATTATTGAAATTAGCTATGAATATTATTTCTTAAGCATGCATTATTATTTAATAAAATAATGATTTAAAATAAAAGAAAGGAGATGTTCTATATTGATATATATTGAAACAGACTTTAGTTACTGATAAGCTCCGCCTCCATAGCATGCTACATGTAACATCACTTGTGTATTAAATCTTGGAATATAAAGACGTACTCTTGTTGTCTCTTCTAGTTCAAATTATACAATAGTATATTTTACTGGACAATCTCATTTGAGATATAATATTCTTGATAATATACTTGTCACTAAAACAAAACATACAACACTGAATGTTTTCTTAGATGTCTTTTCAGTAAGACTTTGGACTTGTAACCTCTGCCACAAATGTCACAGTCAAATATCTCACTATTAACAGTCTCCTTTCAAGATACATCAAGAAACGAGCCAACTAATGGAGCCATTACCTCGTCTTAATCATCAAAGGGTTCATCTTTATAAGTTGTCATGGTTACAACTAAAATGAATGAAAAAATATATATTTAAATGGGAGCACGTGATGTTAGAACTGTTGTTAATAGTTTAGCATAGTAAATGTTATTCAAAGCAGGGTCTTTCAAATTAAAACTATTTGAAAGACCCTGTTCAAAGGCAAACAACAACGCTATTACAAACAGGAAAATTTAAAGAAATGAATCCACGTTGTCGTGTTTTTCAAGAACTTGATAATATAGGAAAATATTTGAACTGTCAATAATATTATCTTTCCAATTTACATTAACATATATTGTTTTATGATACACTGATGCTAGTGGCGAGGTTAATAGTCTCCCCTTTATTACATCAATTTAATAACTTATAATCTGCACCGATTAAGTAAATTTCAGCCTTTATTTGTCATAAAGCGTCGAGAAAATAATGGCATATGCTAGCAAATGAATATCCACTTACAGAAGTTACTTGCTGTAATATGCAATGAGCGTTATGTCTTAAAAAGGGAGTGCGCTGCTAAACTTAAGATACATATAGTATTGCACGCATGTAACTGACAGACACAACAGATCAAGAACACATGCATGAATATAGAAAAATGAAGTTTTTCATGTTCATTTCTCTATTTATAGTGCAGTTTTGTCGTACTAAATCATCACTTTTTGTATTGTAACTGCATATGTTGCTAAAAAGCTTTTTTCGATGCACATACCGCATTAATAAATTTTATATCTCGAGAAAATATTAGAAATGATAGTTTAACATCTCAATTCCGACTAAAAGGACGCAAAGAAAAGAGGAAGTGATAAAAGATTGAACTTGATTTTCTGTCAGAATGTTAGCCACTTTTGTGGTATTTCTGCCATCGACGGCAGCATTTATAATATGTATCTGCCTACAACGGCAGCATTTTTTCTTCGACCGGACAAGATTGAACGTCTTTAAAACTTTCAAGAAAAGACTCACGGGGTAGATATTTGGCTTGCGTGACCCCAATGGATGAACGTCTATATTGATAACAGGAAATCCTGCCATTTACTTAAAACTTGAGATATTTTGAACAGAAAACAGACATTTTCACGGATTTTTCCAAGGCTTTCACTTTTAACCTGCTCAAAATAGTCTTAAAACAGGAAAAAACGAGTCCAAAATTACCTTACAGTATCTCCATTCAATGGACAATAGTTTTATAGCAATGATATGAGCCGTATTTGTGTAATATAATTAAACCAACCAAATTTATAACCTACCTGTATCGATCGGTAATTTTCAGATATCTGCCATCACTGCAGTGATCTGCCATCACTGCCGCCGGTAATACGGTGTGAAATAATGCCTTTTAAAACTTACAACATTGAAAAATCTTCATTTGAGCATGATATAAAACCATAAAAAGTTACAGGATCTTTAAGAGAAATGTTTTTAACATGTTTCTTATGGTATAAAATTCAGCTTTTTATCGAAAGGAAATGAAGTCACGTTTACATGTTGATAATTATTATCAATGATCACATGGTGTGATGTACTTTAATCGATTTTAACAGTTCACTAACTGTTGCTAGCCGGTGACTACGTTATAATAACATAGCGTGAAGTTTAGAATGTATTTAACGAATTTTGAAAAATAAATCATCAACAACCACCACAAATAACATAAAAGTCACCCCGACATTTATTTTCACATCATATCATCCATAATTCTTAATCTAATATACTCAATACCGGAAATATGACGTTTTGTACTTATATACCCATATGAATGAACGCATGCAGAGTCGAGTGAATATAAATCACCACTGAATGACGTGATTATTAAATCATTCCATCATGCTACACAATGGCAAGATAAGACAAAATTTATAACGCCTACTGATCTAGGGTATTTCAATGACTTTATTTATAATATGAATAATCTTCATTACTTATGAATCGGAAGAACGTTATCTTTTCATTCGAAATCGATTTGCCGTTCAGAACGGATTATATAATTACGCTGAAAATATATTTTGCATAATTTATTTAGTAAATAACGTGGTGTTAATGTTGGAATAAGTTTTCATGGGATTTAGGTAAATAAGATATTTAAGTAAGTAAAACACTTATTGGCTAATTGGTCATTGGATGATTATCATTTTTGTAAAACAAAAGTAATGTGACATATAAAACGAATGAAAAATGTACTGTTCAGATACGATTTAATATAATTAAAATCATTAAATTTATAATGTATAATTTTAAACTCTTGTTATTCTGTATTGAATGGCCATCTATTTTTTAGTTTTGCTCTTAGATGTATCATGTTTTTATAGATGGATAAGGGTTAAAGCTTTAACTGTTTGTTCTATAACAAAGACGCATTGTCAAAATTAAAATATTTTTTTTACAGCATGCTTTTAATATTACATACTTTTATAAAACTGTGTTATTCGTAATTTCGTAATTATACCATACATCATTTATAAAAAAATTTGTGTCGATATCAATAAACACTCTATTATTTATTATTCTCATATGATTCTGAATATTAATCATATATGTTTACCATTTTTTACTGTATCTAAATTCAAAGTAATCCTATTTCAGCAATCGACTTTTCGACCTTGGTGATAGAAATTAAGCATTTAGTTTAAGCACACTTTTCTCTATTGATGGACAAATTTGCATGTACGCAGGTTAAATAAATTTTAGCTTTTCACGATAAATAATTAATTGTAGGTCGAAAACTCGAAAAAAGTCTGCAAATTGTCGTGTGAAAAGATTTTAAAATTTTGTCTTTTCATAGTAAAATAACTGAGCAAAATGTAGGAAAAACATGTATAATTCCCAGATTTCGATATTTTTTGATTATCAAAAAGTCAATGGCGGAAAAAAGGTTTACGTAAAATATCCCGACTGTTTCGACGTAATTAGCAAAAGTTGCTCCTTATTGCAAACAAACTAACTATAAATAATAGTGACGACATTGTGAAATAATCTATACTAAAATCACTAACAAATATTTCTTTAAAATTATTGGCCCCGCGAAATGATGCTATAGTCTACGCATGTTAAAAACAGTTATTTCTCAAGGAATTGTGAAACTTCTGTGTCCGTTAAATTATCCTCTAAAAAGTAAAATCACTGTCTTCTGGAGGAACCCAATCTTATGGACTTTCTCTTTTGATACTATGAATAAACTTATATAAAGTAGTTTCTACTACAACAACAACAACAAGAACAAAGTCATTGCTTATTAAAATTTGTGTGGGCAGAACGGGTGTTGTTTTTTTTTTCTTGCTGTAAACATTTTATTAGGGATAGTCTAATATTTACTCTGATCAATGGCATGTTTACTGACATTAAAATACTGTCTGACAACTTATCACCATGACCTTCTGTACACGTATTTTGCTTGAGTGATTCAAACTCACGAACTCCAGCTCAGTGATGATATTTCATGTATTAACATAGCTCTTTGTGCAGGTACAGCACATTTTATTATTACAAAATTCCGTTTCAGGAACTTTATTGTCATTTACTAATATACAAAAAGTAATTGTTAGCAAGATAATTACATGTTAATGTTGTTGTTTTGCTCATACTTTTATACTCAAATATACCCGAAATATATCGTAAAGTCTGCGGGATTATTTAATAACATTTACAAGTTTTCAGGCAGTCATTCAAATTAATTAATTTTATGATAGGGTTGATTAAAGGTTAACAAAAATATCAGTGCAATTTTGATATGATTAGACGCTGCATATCGCCGTGCAGCTTTTCATAAAATTTTATATAAGCCTTTTCATTCAAAAGACATCTAAATAAGTAATTCTTTAAAGCGGCATGCCCATAGATTCATGCTATTTTATATAAAAATTAAACAAATTTA